GGTATACCCTTTGGTCAGTTGATGATGCATGGAGGGGACTAGAACCATGGCAAGGAAACGATATACGGTGGAATGAATGTAAAACTAAAGTTCTCTCATGTAAACTATTATATAATTCACAATAAATCATTTAAAAAAATGGAATTTTCCACAAACTTTTTGAAGTTCCCTTGTATGTCTACCATAAAGTAAATTTTGGTGACTTTGAAGATATAACTATAGTAATCCCAAGGACTGAACAGTTAAGTTTTCTGGGTAAAGTATTATCTAAAGTTAACAAAATAAATCATAACTCCAGTGGGCTGTTTGGTCAGCTTGGGACCAACTGAACAATAACTGGGAATCTGGCAGCTAGCAGTGATATCAGACTATGTTAGTCAGATCCATGAAACATGACTATGGGGACAAACAAGAGACTTTGGCCCTCTTGTCAGGTAGCCGGTCTCCTGGACTTGCTGGGTAGACACTGGGGAATTCTGACTCTCTCCTCACACGAAGCAGATTCTTTCTAGAAAATTATTTTTCTCCTGACTCTCACCATTCTCTAACAAAACACTGATTTCTTTAGATATGTCAACACCATTAAGTTAGGGTATAATCAAGTCTGTTTTGAACAGGGAAATATCGTGTTTTCAAGGAGCTTTCTACAAATACTTTAATGCTTTCCTTACGTGGTGCTTTTATAGTTTAATATAAATATAATATAATATAGGTAGTTTAACTTCTAAGGGTACTAAACTATCCACTCTTAGGGTCACTTATAAAAACACAACTTGATGTATAAACTTAATCAATCACAGGAATTCTCTAGACCTGTTGCTTTATCTGGGTTATTTCTCCAGTGTTTTCCAATAAACTACTGACAAGGGTATTTTTGAAACCTGGTCAAACAGAAGTCTTGTTGAGAATGCAAGACAGTACCTATGGGGACCAAGGGAACTACTGTGCTGTCTGTCTCGGCTTTTTACTCCAATAATCTTTCTAGATTTGCTTCCGCTTTTCTTTTTAACCTCAGTAAAAGAATTTTTTTTTTAAGAGTGACACTGAAAATGGGGATTAAAAATTAGCATTCAAAATCAAATTAGGTACAAAAATAACTCAGAAATGATAGAAGGAAAAATTAAATCACATACCCATAAAGCAATTCTCTGAAGCTTCCTGCCACGCTTCCCCATTAATACTGACATTCTCTTGCACAGCTGACTCAAAAGTCTGCAACAAATTCACAGGGTCAAATCACTAAAAAATTAACTTCAAATACTGAATTCAAATACTTTGACAAAATAACTATTTCAGATTTGTGACAGAGGGTACAAAGAAAAGTGGCAGATGAGCATTACGCTCTTTTAAGAACTATCTATATAGAATCAGGGAGTCTAGTGTGGTGGTTGGAGGATAAGCACTGGACTGTGAACTACAAGGTTGGTAGTTCAAACCCATAAGATGCTCCTTAAAAACCCTATACAGAATCGCTGTGAGTTGAAATCAACTTAGCAATAACAAAGTAAGTGAACAATATCACCAGTGAAGTATGTATTCCTTAGAACTAACCATAGGCAATCCAAAGGATACCATTTGCCCAGGGATAAAGCACAGATGGCAGGAAAGGCCAGGGAAGGACATGATCTGTGGAAATAGGAAACCCAGGCAGGAAGGGGGTAGAGTGCTGCTGTCCTGTGCGAAGTGCAATCAGTGTCACAAATCACAACATGTAAGAACTGCTGAATGGAAAACCAGTTTGCTCTGTAAACTTTCACACAAATCAAATCACAAAAAGGTGTTTTGTTTTGTTTTTTAAAAAGGACATAAGGGTGGGGGACAAGAATAACGTGAAAAACTAGATAGGAACCTGAGGGGACAATGAATTTATAGTAGTAGAGGAGACAACAACTCAGAAAAGGTGGCTGGGGACAGAAGCATAACTTGAGGAATGTAATCAATGTCACTGAACTGCACTTGTAAAAATGGCTGCCGTACGTTTTCAACAACAAAATAAGATGAAATAAATAGTGGCAGTCTAACAATACATTTACTATTTTTAATGAAGTAGGATTCCATTTTAATCACTGGTTGTTGCCTTAAAACGGACACTGTATAGGGTTTCCAGATAACAACTGCTAAGTTTGAACTGCCAGCCTTGCAGTTATACCAGAACTCCATCACACATCACAGAATCTACCTATATTACAGCTCTGAAAGTCATGGGAATATTTGATGCAAATTTTAGAATACAAGGAGGCTTCAAATAGTTTGTGGAAAATGTAATTAAATGATAACTTAAGATGCTGTTGTTGTTGTTAAGGCAGTGGAGTCGGTTCTGACTCATAGTGACCCTGCATAGAGTTTCTGAGGAGCAGCGGTAAGTTTGAACTGCCAATCTCATGGTTCAAACCAACCCTGAGATCGAATGCTTATCCTGTGGCGCCATGAAACAGCCTAAATGCCCATCAACAGACAAATGGCTAAACTTTGGTACATAAAAACAATGGTACACTATACAATGTTGAAGAATGATAAAACTGTGAAACACATCATAACATGGATGAACCTGGAGGACATTATGCTGAGTGACATTTAATTTAGGCAGAAAAGGACAAATATTATGGAAAAGTAAAGGTTTTCTTGACAAAAGAAACATTCTATAATGGTTATTGGGGTGGGAGGGAAGGGAAAATTATTGACTGGATAGAGGGCTGTTGTTGCTGTTAACTGCCATCGAGTCGGTTCTTAACCATAGTAGCCTGTATAGTGTTTCTAAGGAGCAGCCGGTAGGCCAATCTCACAGTTCAAACAGACTTTGCAGTCCAGCGCATGAGCCCACAGCACTACACAAGGACTCCAAGATCAAGGTTTAACTTGGATGATATGTTAACTTGGGTGACAGGGAGGCAATATATGAGAGGTTGGCAGAGGAAAGATGAAGGTAGCAAAAGACACAGGGAGAAGTGAGAGTTAAAGCGAATACAGGTTGCAGGGCATTTATTATTAAGACCCTTCTAGCCAATTTTTTCCAAATTGCAAATCCTAGCCTCTACGCCTGTGATTATGGGCCCGTTTTGAATTGAGTTGCTGAGGAATAAAGATTAAGGTGGGGCTAAGGAATAAAGATTAGAGCCCTGGTGTGGCACTACAGGATAAGTACTGGACTCCTAATTACAAGGTCAGTGGCCCAAACCCACCAACCACTCCTTGAAAACCCTATACAGGGTCGCTATGGGTCAAAACCAACTCGATGGCACTTAACACCACCACCACCTTACTAGAGGGTGTGACTCAAGTCACCACCCTTAGTTTCCCTTGAGGATATGGTTTGACTCCAATTTATAAGACTGCTTTGGAAAAGCTTTCTCTCTTGGCCTGGATCTTGTATCTGGCTCATTACATCTGACCTACAGTTTGAAGGACTTTCAGCCCTTCACCTGACCTGACTGACCAGCAGCCTCCTGTATCAACAGCCTGTCATGTGACTGGTGATTTGAGTTCCCCAGATCCTGAGACTACATAGATGAAAAGATTCCTCCAGACTGATCTTTGAACTACGAATTTGGAACCTGTGAGCCTCCACAACCGCATGAGCCATTTCTTTTGTTAAGTGTGTTTTGGGAGACATTGCAGTGTGACACAGAACCCTGAGACTTGAGGTAAGGGAGGAGTGGTGACTGATAACGGAGGGGTATAACATGTTGAAAAGTCGACAACTGGAATATCTTTAATGTCCCACTCAAAGGGAACAGCCCTGTGCTGATTTGTAGTAAAGATCTGATTCATGCACAGGTACTGTTAACTGATGGTCCACGGAGAAGAGTGCAATCATTGCACTAACACCAAGTATATGATTTGCTAAATGTGGGAATGATAATATCTATTAAGTAAATCTACACTCAAGTCAAAATAAAATGATAAAAAATATATATGAGTTTTCCCATGAACTTTTTAAAGTCCTCGAGTATTCTTGTAAACAAACAAAAAAGTACTTCTTAAATAAAAAAAAATATAAATAAAGCTGAAAAATGTAAACTCAGTTGAACCTCAGGGGTCCATTATTGTTGTCAAGTGCTGTCGAGTCGATTTCGACCCATAGTGACTCTGTACAGGGTTTCCAAGGAGTGGCTGGTGAGCTTGAACCAGAGACCTGCAGTTCAAACCAACTGTGCAGTCCAGTGCATCAACTCACAGCGTCACACCAGGACTCCACAAGTACTATATATGCTGCTACATAAGCGTCATGATGAGGGAAATCATGCACAATTTTAAGAAGTGAAATTAATTTCCACCCTAGAAAGAGCTTAATTTTTTAATTAAGAGATGTATAGTGAAGTATGTAGGGATGAAATGACATGATCTAGGATTTGCTTTACAACAATACTTCATTAACAAAAACAGTAGAAGATAGCTCGAGTGAAATAATTCTTATAACTATTAAATATGTTGTTGTTAAGTGCCGTCAAGTCAATTCTGACTCATAGCAGCTAGTGGATTTGAACTACGGACTACAGTCCACTGCTTATCCTCAACACTAAATATATACATATGTATATGGGTGCCCACTGTACAAACGTACTTTTTGTAAGGTTAAAAGTGTTCACAATACAATTTCTTTTAAAGTACTAAAGGAATGTAGCCGAATCATTAAAATTTTAAATGTTGTTGTTGTTGTTAAGTGCTGTCGAGTTGGTTCCGACCCATAGCGACCCTGTACAGGGTTTCCGAGGGTGTAAATCTTTACGGGAGTAGAAAGCCTCATCTTTCTCCCACGGAGCGGCTGGTAGTTTCAAACTGCTGACCTTAAGGTTCACAGCCTGATTTGTAACCACTAAATGCACACTCCCTATTAACAAATGACCATTCTCACAAAAACATAAAGAAACTGGACACAGAATGTCCATTTTAGCACTGTTTGAAAAATGGGGGGGTGGTGGAGCGGGGAACAGCAAATCCTAAATTTTTAAAAATTAGGATACTGGTTAAATACTCTACCTAACAATGACAAGTGAAAACAGCAAAGTTGCCCACAATACATTGGCAAGACACTATTAATGCTAAAGTATGTAAAGGTATGTAAAGCCCTAAAAGAGAGTGTAGATACAGGGTCGCTATGGGTCAGAATCGACTCAATAGCACTTAACTTCAGAGTGATGTAGCAGTCTGCTTTTATAAGGAAACTTAGAAACTCTACAGAACCGTTCAGATAAGCACTGGACTGCTAACCATAGGGTTAGCAGTTCAAATTCACAAGCCGCTTCTGGGAAACCCTGTATAGGATCACTAGGAGTTGGAACTGACTCGATGACAGTTAACAAGGTGGCTAGGAGTCAGAACTGACTTGGGGGTCAACAGGTATAGATAAAATAATGACTGATCATCATGAGTGATGAATTTTTGACAATAAGTCAAAAATTATCTACTCTGGCTGTAGAATTTAATCAACTTTTAGAAAAGACAAATACATTAGTTTCAACAAAATTGCCTCACTTTTCAATACACTTTGTCCATCTGTCAACAAGGTTTTGCATTCCCTTATAAAAAAATGTTTTAGGCTGAGCTGTGAGCCAAGAATGCACCACTATCTTCACTTCAGTAGAAGTGAATCTTCGTCCTCGGGTACCAAAAGGTCAAAGTCCAATGGAGCACTATCAGGAGTATAGGGAGGATGTTTCAATACCTCAAAACTAAGTTTTTGCAGTATCAACAGTGTGGGCAGAGATGTGCAGACGTGCACTGTCAGGCAAGATCACAAAGCCTGTGGATAACAGTCTCTGCATTTACTCCAATGTTCAGGCTTCAGCCCTTCACTGAACATCTCACTGTAATGAGCACTGTTGATTGTTGAACCTTTTTCCTAAAAGTGTTCCAATACTGGCCCCTGAGAATCCCAGAAAACTGTAAGCATCAATTTTCCAGCAGATGGCTGATTTTGAACTGTTTCTTGGTCTGTGATTGAGGATATTTCCATTCCATACTCTGCTGTTTACTCTCAGGCTTGTATTGATGAATCCATGTCTCATTACCAGTTATCGATTTTTTTAAAGAAACTTTTATCTTCCTTTGGGTATTGGTCCAAATTTTGTTTGCAGCTGTCCAAACAGTTCTGTTTATGCTCTTCCATGAGTTGTTTCGGTACCCATTTCACACAAACTTTTGGAAACCCAAGTGAGTCACGGATTATTTCATTGGCAGAGTCATGGATGATTTGCAAATGATTTATCACATAATCCACTGTCACTCATCTATTCAACAGCATCATTTCACGTGCACGCTCAATGTTGTCATCAGTTGTGGACATGTGTTTTAATATAACTGGAATGCAGATAGTTTTGTGACTCACCCTTGTACATATACTATACTTTTCTTTAAAATAAAATCCTCACTTTATATATAAACTTTCAAGAATTATTTGAAAATGCAACTTGTCTTTTTAATATTTATTGTATAAGCCAACCAATACCATTTTTGTTTAGAATGTTGTTATGTGCCACAGAGTTTGTGCAAGTTATAGCGACCCCATAGAGGATTTCTGAGGAGCTATGGAGCTAGTGGGTTTGAACAGCCAGCTCCACACGCACACTTGAAACCTCTGCCTTTTATCTGTTCTACTAAATAAGTCTGTCTTCAAACCTTTCTCTTCTAATTCACTCCATTCCCTCATTAAATAGTATTCGAATTCATGTTAAGCTAGATTCCTCTTTTTCTGTTTCGCAATTAAATGTTTTAAGTATCTTGTTGTTGTTAGGTGCCACCCAGTCAGTACCCACTCATAGCAACCTTATGCACAGCAGAACAAAACACTGCCCAATCCTGGGCCAACCTCACTACTGTTGCCACGCTTGAGTCCATCGATGCTGCCACTTGGCCAATCCATCTCGTTGGGGGGGTCTTCCTGTTTTTCTCTGATCCTCCACCTTACCAAACATGATATCCTTCTCCAGTGACTGGTCCCTCTTGACAATACGTCCGAAGCATGAGACAAAGTTTGGCTATCTTGGCCTCCAAGGAGCACTCTGGCTGCACTTCTTCCAAAACGGATCTATTGGTTCATTTGGCAGCCCATAGCACTTTCAATATTCTCCTCCAACACCATAACTCAAATACATCAATTCTTCCTTATTCACTGTCCAGCTTTCGCATGCATATGAAGTTATTGAAAACACCATGGCTAGGGTCAGGCTCACCTTAATACTCAAGCTGACATCTTTGCTCTTCAACACTTTAAAAAGGTCTTGTGCAGCATATTCGCCTAATGCAATACAGAAGATGGAAAGAATACACAGAGTCACTGTACGATAAGGAAATGGTTAATGTTCAACCATTTCAAGAGGTAGCATATAATCAAGAGCCAATGATACTGAAGGAGGAAATCCAAGGTGCATTGAAGGAACTGGCAAAGAACAATGTACCAGGAATTGATGGAACAAAAATTGAAATCTTTCAACAAAGTGAGGCGGCACAGGAGGCACTCACTCATCTCTGCCAAGAAATTTGGAAGACAACTATCTGGCCGACTGACTGGAAGAGATCCATATTTGTGCCCATTCCAAAGAGAGGTGATCCAATGGGATGAGGAAATCATCAGATAATATCTTTGATATCCCATGCGAGTAAAG